GCAGTTATTTACAATATGTGATGACAATATTTCATAATTTTTTGTAAATGCGATAACTCAAGAATGAAGCAACCTAGCAGTTTCAAATTGAAACATCTGCCAAAAATCCTGGATGAATTCAAATCAAGTATTTGTTTGAGGTCAAGTATTCTTAAAATCTTTTAAAAAATTCTTAAAATCTCTAGAAAGAAGTCACCCAGGATTCTGATAATCTAAAAATACTTTCTGAAAATAGAATTTACTGAAGCTACTAAGGAAAGCAGCACTACTGATACTTTGTACAGTGGTGAATGTTTAAATGACAATAGTGGGGTGTTTCTGAATGCAGGTTTTTCTGAATGGAATTTTGACGTGTAGGTCCTCAGTCATCAAGTTCATGGGATTCTAAGGACCTTAAGTCAAAGGCAAATGGACTTCCTTATCAAGTTCTCTCTTATCTAAAAGGGTTCAGGTCTAAACGTTGATCAGGAGTCCTGAATTTCTGCAATTCAGAACCAGCAACACTCCCAGATAACAAAGTGGTTCATCCCAAGACAAAAGCATCCATTCCCAAACTAAGCAACGTCATGCATGATGTGCAATGCAGTGAGGAGTGGTTGGGATATAGGATCACCCAAAGAACCACAGATACATGACACACCATAGTAGGGTCCACATCTACACCTAAAAGAGAGGAGACACTCTTGAGGAGACCGATGTTCACATTTTAAATTGAGATGATATGAGAGCAGAGTAACTGCACTGCAACCACGTAAGCTAGCGCAATAATTTTTTTGCATATGAAACCGGAGGAGTTGTACTTGCATCTTATGCCATCAGCTTGTCCTCGGTCACGGTTTCCTTCCACGTAGCTTTGCAAAAACTGCATAAAAAGCGCTTGCAGCACCAAAAACAAAATATTCCAGAAACACGCTTTGCCGATCCGATCAGCTGTTCATAACACTTCCTACGTTGGAATAGACACTATCGTATGTCCGCGGAAATGTAGTTTTTTTACCATCAGGGCCTCATGAGCCTATACTGGTGTTTTTAAAAGTTATGTTTGACTTTATGACTTTCTGTGTCGTTTCTGGGATGCTGAGGACTCATATTGCACTGCTGGAAATAGTTTATTTTGATGCACATGCTGCTTTTTTGCAAATTTGCACTATAATATTTATTTTCGTTTTTCCTGCAGTATATAAAAATTTGTGTATTTCAAAAATAAAACTATGAAGACACTCAAAATAAATTTCCTGTGGTGGGAAACTATTTTGTGCAACTTTTTTGTATTGACAGTTTTGAGGGATAAGCCTCTTAAATTTCTAGAAATATATGTTAAAAAAACAAAAACGATTTTCAACTTTTTTGTAGTTTATTGCACTTTTTTGCAATTTATGTAATTACTATGCACTTAATGCATACATATTATTACAATTTAGGCTGTAATGGTTGTATTGATGTATAGCAACTTGAAATGCTCCCAAAAATGGCACTACAACATGTAAAAATATAATATAAGCTCTGGCGGACTTGGTTCTATGGTAGGTCTTAAAGGGTTAAGCACCATCCATTCCCCGACCTATGTGATCTAGGCATGTTGGGACTTCTGTGTGACAGCCCTGACCAAGGTTAATAACTTAGACTCTGCTTTAGCTTTTGGAACTGATGAAGCCAGAGCTGGAACCTCTTCAGGAGCCTGAAAGAAGTCAATTGACCATCGACTGGAGCACTTTAGACTACTCATAGAAAGAATAAAAGTTTAATTCTAAGTAAACAATATTGATGTTTAACCTTTTACCTGGACTTTTCTTTTTTTTGGTTGTGTGATGTGACTTAAAGCCTGAGTGCACTTTTAAGGCTTAGCTAGCATTGGGCCGCTGTGAGCGTTTAATCGTTGTACTCGGGTACAAAGGAAGCTGAAAAGGTTTATTGGAGTCTATGAGGAGTGACTTACCTCTGGAGCCAGCCTAAAGTGGCTGCTAATGAGAAAGTTCTGAAGCATCTGCAAACAGTTAGTCTAATTCTGTTCAGTTCAGTTTTATTTCTGTAGTGCCAAATCTCAACAGTCACCTCCAACAGCATGTCAGCACATTTTGGTAATCTCACCTTTTCTGTCTGGTTTCTGCTGCTGCCAGGCAAAATTCCCCTTCATCACAATTAAAAACTGAAATCTCCTGCAGTGTGTAGAAAAAGTTACTTCTTGATAAACTGAATGTAAACTGCAGGGGTTGTGTGGGAGCTCAGAGCAGCTCTGAGTTCAGTTTATAGTTTCATGCTTTGAAATGAAGTATTTCTGCTTCTCTTGTCCATCCATCCATAAACCTGTTGTCCTGCTGCTCAGACTGATGTAGAGACGAGTGGGAGGAGGAGGAGGGGACGAGAACTCACTTATTTGCCATGGAAATGTCCCCATGGCAACCCACAGCAGCCAGCGGAAGCTAAAATGGCTGTGTGTGTGTGTGTGTTTCCCTGGTGCTTCCCTGCCTGGCACACAGACAGGATGTAGGCGGTGTTGTGGGCGGCGACCTTCAGGCCTGTGCGTCATGCTTCATTGGAAGAACACTTAGCAGGAAGCGTTATGTAATGACACCTGAGCAAATGAGGTTCATGCAGGTTCCTCTGTGTGAGGGCCGAGGAGTCCGGAGCTCACCGGGGACCGCTGTCAGGCCTTTACAAGGCGAGCAGCTGAGCACCATTCAAACCTAAACAACTTTATTTAAAAGGCAGTTTTGCAGCAGCAAAAGGACTTCTATTGTGAGCTCCAGCAGTTTTCCTTGTGTCAGCTGAGCTGTACTGCGGCGACAACCAGATAAATGGTAAATGGCCTGTATTTGTATAGCACTTTTCTAGTCCCTAAGGACCCCAAAGCGCTTTACACAACCAGTCATCCACCCATTGGTGATGGCAGCTACATTGTAGCCTGGGGCCCACTGACAGAGGCTGCTGGACACTGGCACCACCGGGCCCTCTGACCACCACCAATAGGCAACGGGTGAAGTGTCTCGCCCAAGGACACAACGACCGAGACTGTCCAAGCCGGGGCTTGAACCAGCAACCTTCCGATTACAAGGCGAACTCCCAACTCCTGAGCCACGATCGCCACGATGTGTTCTGTAGTTTTTAAGCAGGTGTAACTCGAGCTATCAGACCTGCTCTGATATCATTTTCCATTTGTATTCATGTAAAGCTTCTATAATTAAATTATAGAATTATAGAAGCTGTTGGTAAAATGGTAAATTTACCATTTTAAATTAAATTATCATTTGATTTCTTGAATAAGACATCTCACAATGTGAAATACACAAATAACTGTACCAACAGATCCAACATTGGGTTAAAAATAATCCAACCAAACTCAGCAGGTCACATGAACCTTTGAAATTAAAGTTTCTATTAAACATCACGTGCTGTGGAGTGGCCTCTCCATCTCCGAGAGCAAAGTTCTGACATCCAGGAGAGCCTTCAGCTGTCTGAAAGGTTGGATCTGAAATTACCTTCCACTAGCTGTGCTTGGGTCAAAAGATGACTAACAAGAACACAACTCTGACATCTGCTTGCATGAATGACCGGAATGAGAATTTAAAAAGGACACATGATTAGTGTAGAGAGGACTTTCTGAACTGTTGGTGAGGATCTCAGTGAGTAGGCAGTAAGGAGGCTCTGATGGTTAATCCAACGCTTGGATTTTGGTAGGACAGTTAGAAGTACAGCTTACTCAAAAAATGTGCTGCAAATTTAAACACAGAAAAGTACTGAAGGACTTTGTCTTAAAAACCTACTCGGGCAAGTTTATTCTTTGAGGAAAACTTTAAGTCCTCATTAGATCTGACACAAATCAGTCCTGGATGGCTCTGCAACAACAACCTGCTTGTTATTTCCTGTTATATGGTCTTGAAGGCTGTTATGGGCACTTTAAAGACACTTCAAAGACAAACTTTGTGAGCTCAATTCACGCAGCTCGTCTAATCTAGTTTAAGGCAGTTCTTACAACCTTATCAGCAAGATTTCCTATACTGTCCAGGAGGAGAGCATTCTTGCACTGTAAATTGTAGGGCTTTTATTGTGAAGGGTAATAACAGGAGGATGCATATATTACACATTTGTATGGATGCAGCACTGACAGCTCCTCATGTTTTAGTTTCTGTTCTGTGGAGCTGAAAAACACTATCAAAGCCTCACAGGCTGACATGTGCCACATGTCATTTACTTTGATCAGCGTTTTAGTTTCATCCCCCTATTTCTTGACATTTATCTGAGTTTTACTCTGTGTAGTACCAACGTTCCTCCTGAGATGTTCCCAGACCTGATGGAACATACTTTATAATCCGTCTGCTCGCTTTCCAGTCAGGAATGGCTTCCATGAGCCATGATGATCACTACCAAGAGCTCAGGATAATCAACAAGGGTTGCAGCAAATTAATGTTGATTACTTAGTATAATTTAAACTTTGAATTTGAGAGGCAGCAGCTGAAGTCAGGCTTTAAGAGGAGAGTCGAGTGGGTGTTTTAGAAGTTCAACCCTCGTGAAGCTCATCTGATACATGAAAAAAAATCCAGCAGTGCTTTTTAGTGAGGATGAAAGAGATAAACAGACGCACAGCAGCGGCACGCTGATTTCTCTGATTCATTGAACACCAGTCATCACCTGCTTCTCTGTTGCCGTGGTGATAGACTGAATGCACTCACACACACACACAAAGAAATCACAGCACTACGTTTGACCCATTTGATCAGACACAAATGTGTGTTTATGCGATGTTATCACAATGGTAACAGAAGAGTCCAAGGCAGCTCATACTCAAGAATGAATGATGAGTATGTGTGATTGCAGGCTCAGTCAAATGAGGATGTCTTTAAAACATATCTTGGAGGAGCTGGTAGAGATCTTTGAGATTGCTTCTTAATCCCAGACCAACTCCATGATTGTTAGGATGGGACTCTGTGTGGGGTAATACCATCTCTTATTCTCTGGTTGCATCTAAAGATCTAAAGTAATCAGGATGACTTCCATCTTTTTAGGTTCCCACGTCCACCACAGAGCTCAGCACGATGCTACTTCCTCGGCCTTCGTCCATGCAGGACTCGGAGCGCAGGGGCAGGGCAATGAGTGCTGCCAGCTACCTCACCGACGTCATGGAAGGTGAGAAGCAAAGTGAGCCACGCTAATTTGAATGCAGGGCACACACACTAAATATGATGTGAGTTGTTATAAACCAAGGTATGAATTCAGTATATTTAACCCTACAATAGCAAAAACACGTGGGAGTCCTCATCAGCTTCTACAAGTGTTTAAGCTTCTCAGATGAGAATTGAAACATCTTCATTACCTTCATTAAGAAGTCCAGCTCCCATCAGTTTAGCTACCAGCATGCCTCTGTCCTGGGGCCTCCACATGGTTAAGGTGTGGAGAGCAGCAGCAGGTTTCTTAGCTTCTTAGCAGACACCAAAGTCAGGGTTGCAAAGTGGCTTGCAGATGTGGCATGAGCCGTAGGCTGGCTAAAATAGCTTAAACTGAGTTTAAACTTTAGCTGATGTTCTGCTGAGCTTTCTGAATTAATGGTCCACTGTTTGTTCTTTTAGAGGGAATAATTCAGCTGCTATAATTCATTGACTGAGTTTAATGGAGGCATTTTAATGTCTGTTTTCATGCCCGTGCCCTTGTTTTTGCATCTGCAATCGACTTTGCAAACCGCTTTGATCCCATCTCCTTGTTTCATGCTGTACTGTATCTGACTTAATGTGATAGTGGTTGCATTTATATGACAGTGTTAGTGTAGAACAGATGGCAAAGTGGGGAAACAGAGAAGGGAAATGACACACAGCGAATGACCAGGGGCGGAGTTGAATCCAGGCTGCTGCCTCGGTGCATGGGGCATGTGCTCTATCAGGTGGAAAAAATACAGATCAAAACAACTTATTGATTCTACACGTGCAGTTTTTATGCCCCGGTGACCATAGAAATCAATACTAAGTCTTTATCCACGTTCATTTAGATGGGGACTTCCTAATATTATCCCAAACACCCGCTCAGCTGAGGCTGAGTGGTGAGACTTCTTTGATTTATTTAGCAGACTTTGATAGCAGCGAAACAAAGTGAAGCTAATCTTAATCATTCTTAAAATAATCCCACACAGGATTAAATGGATTTCCTTTCTTTACAGAAGCTTCTGTTTCACTTCATTTCTACCAAAAGGCAGAGCGATTTAAAACAGGCTCATTACCTGGAAAAAGCACGTTTCTGCATCAGCTCCAGCATCCTTTCACGTTTTATGTGTTTGCGCTTGTGTGTCAATATGGGACTGTAACCTTGCCTGACTTTGTGTCTCAATATGTGTGTGTTTGTGTGTGATTGTGTAACCACGTATTTGTCTGAATTATAACGCTTTTGTGGGTGCGAGAGAGGAGCGTGTGTGTAGCTGTGTCTGAGTTTGCTTCAAAGACAGTGTGTGTGTGTGTGTGTGTGTGTGTGTGTGTGTGTGTGTGTGTGTGTGTG